CAGCACAAATCAGATCGTGATTGGCCAAGGCCCAGCCGAGCCTGTCGGCTGGCTTGCTTGGGCATCCCTACTCTGTCCATGCCGTGCCTGTCGCTGCGGCTTCTCCCGTCAAGCTTCTGGAGCCGAAGCCCGGCTTGGTGACAAAACTGGAACAGTCACGTCCGACGGCGCGCAAGTACCCTTCCCGCAGGTGCTGCACGAGGCTTGCCACCGAGCCCTTTAGGTGGTGAGGCGCGCGGAAGTGAGGGCAACGTGATGTAGTGATAATTCAGCGAAAACAACTTCAGATACGTTCAGGGGAGGTCGGCAAATGCTGAGAAAAAACTCAACTGGCGCATGGCGATTATGACCATGGGGTTCCCGATGAACTGGGGCTCCACCGACTCCCCCCTCAGCTGTCTCCTCACAACAAAAACAAAACAGAACCACAAAAGCCTCATCTGAGCTACTTATCTCCCTCTATCACTCACTCTCTCTCTCTCTCTCTCTCTCTCTCTCTCTCTCTCTCTCCCCCTCTACCGTTCTCCACCAGCTATCACTGCACCTATCTGCATACCTCCATGGAGCTCAACATTGCGGCTGTCATGCATACGCCGCCAACTCGAAACTGCTGTTCTGCAGAAGAAGCAGGTACGTGGGCTAATCGAATACCGGCTGATCAACAAAAACATGCAGCAGAAGTGAACAAGCCCCCCAAACCTCTCTACGTTCACACACGAAAAAATAAAAGGCAGTGGGTCAGAGGGTCTCTTGTGGGCTCTTTACCTTCTCCGCGAGAGTTACCGTGCAGCCCCCAAACCCTCCCCCGGTGAGCCTCGAGCCGAAAACTCCTTCCACCTCCATCGCAAGCTCAACCAAGACGTCCAGCTCGGGGCAGCTAACCTCGTAGTCCTTTCAAGGGTAACGGTTAGAGATAGGGTTAGTGTTAAGAACGTGCGGGGTAGAGGACCAAGAATCGTCGAGAAATGCGGCCCCGGCAAGCGTGGCGACAGCAGTGGGGAGACGCCGATGGCATCGCAAACATCTACGGGACAGTACATCACTGGCAAAGCAGCGTCTTGCCGGATTCCACGCCGTGTGGCTTAACGCCCACAAACGTGCACGCACACGAAACATGAGTTTCACTCGCACAAGGCGGCGGCTGGTTCGCACACTACATCTCACAGAAAACTCCGGTGCTTGGTCCCTATACATAGAAGCCGAACCAAACCATTAGACCAGTCAGCAGCTAGTCTTTATAGGTTTGATTGCAGCTTCTAAACAAGTCAGTCCAGGGGTCCGAACATCCCAGCACTTTCACTCCGAGGAGGGTGGAAACAAATGGTGGTTTCGTTTCGGCTGCAAAAATTTCGCAACGAATCTGTCGACGGGCAGACACCCCACCAATCTTACGAAGGCCGGGTTCGCGGCTCCAACTTCTCACCTTCGACGACGGCGCAGTCGACCTCGCACGAGCAATCCCAGGAGCGGCGCGAAAAAAGCCAAATAGTGAAGCTGGCAAACCGTGCCTTCATCAACATATAACAAGCCGAACCGCAGCCCAATGTTTCATGCACAAGTCCACAGTAGGTTTCGACAAGACACAACAGTATTCTTTTTCTGGGGCCCCCGAAAATCCGAACCAAAATCGTGCAAGACAAAACGAAACTTGCATCCAGCAGTAAGTACCTCGCGCAAACTCCGGTGGCTGTCCAGCATGAGCTGCCCGACCTGCAGGTAGTCCCCGCTCGTCAGCGCCCGCGCCGCGGTAACCGTGCGAGCATTCTCGGACACCACGTGCCTAGCGCGGCGGAATACCGCGTCCTCTACTCCCGCCTCCATGGCGTCCACCTTGTACGCGCACCGCGGGTGCCGCCGAGGGGAGTGGCGCAGGTCGGCGAAACCCGAAGCGTGTGGTAAGGACGTGCCGGGCTCGCTTTGTGAGCACCTCAGTAGTCGTAGTCGTTATGAAATTCTTCGTGGAGGTGAACATCAGCACAAACAGCTCACCGCTCGGAAAAGAAGACAAGAAAAGCGTGGTATAGGGTACCCTGCTACCAAGCGACAAGGGTACCATTTATCAGAACCCAAGCAACGGTAAAAAGCTGTCGGGGAAAAGGCGAGGGTCGGCCGGGGTGGCAAGTAACGCGCACGTACGCTACAACGAACTTCTGGATCCAGGCTTCCGTTCACCAATCACGTGATTTGTCTCGCTGACGCAAGAGCATACAAGCTACAGACAATTACGCGAAAGAGTCGATCCCCGCACGGTACCTGCTCCGGAGTGGCGTCTCTCAGGAGTTGCACGTCGGGGTGGCTTTTCTGGAGCTCGTCTCTGGCCGCCTGGCACTGCGCCACTCGAATCGGGTACTGTTGAGCGGCGGATCATGCGAGAAAAAGTGTCACTTAACGGTCCGCCTTGCTTGGCGTCTTCAGCTATTTAAATAGGCTTCATATCGGGCACAACGCCGTTCTTGCGGACCGTGGGGCCCGGGGATATATATAGAGGTTATGCAAGACGACACAAGCCCAACCACCCCATGCTGATGAAAAGAATAGATTGCGAAGACCAACATCACGAAAATCCTTGGATAGTTCTATTTAGCACTGCCCTGTTTGTTTGCTGCTGTGTCGTACAAAAGCAGGACAGGACAGGACAGCTTGCTGCCCACCCTGCCCTGCCCGAAACAACCTCTTCTACCTCCCCCCTCAGCCAAGACGTGGGGGCTGCTACTCTACTGCTACTACTATCGCCGCTATTGGCGCAGCAGTATTTGCTGGCGCGTGACGTTGTAGGAGGGTGTCCAGAGAAAGGTATAACCGGGCATGTCATAGCCGGCGCACGCGGCCCAAAGATCTTGGGGGGCGAAAGGGGGCATTTGTTAGATATCTCCTGCCGGGTACTGCCGCTGCCGAGTTGAAAAGCGTGAGTACCAAAAGCGACTCCGGCCGACGGACTTCCTCAACAGGTTGGTTGAATTGATTGTGCCGAAACTGAGGTTCTGCAGCGTAGCTGGCCATGAAAACTCCCCCAACGGGTTGGTTTAACGCATAATCCAAGTCCGAGCTTCTTCTGCAGCGAATCCGGCCATGATAAATTCCTAAAAGAGGAAGGCGCCGGCCGCGCGCACCTGGCTGCCGGCGAGGTTGTGCTTTACGTTCGAGTTGGTGACCACGACAACTAGGTTCGAATCGGACAGGGGCACGGCGTCGGGTTCCTCGCTGCGGCAGTCCAGCAGCATAGCGTGGCCTTTGGGGTGTTGGGGGATAAACGCGAAGGAACGAAAGGCGCGGATTGAGAAGGAGGGAAAATAAGTCATCCTCGACGGTACATACGCGACCCAAGGCCGGGGATGGATGGGGGCACGCGGGAGACAAGTTCGGGATTCCAAAACACAATGAGAGAGAAAAACGGTGTTGGGGGAGCGGAATTCCCTGCAGCAATCGCCAAAACACAGAACAACAGTCCCCTCTGGGCTCACGCGGAAAACCAAGCTCGCCCTAACCAAGTAGAGCTAGCTGCCTTGGATGGTACCGTACGAAGCGTTACTGATCCACGCTTCCTTGACCGACATTGGATGCTCGCAACCAAGAGAGAGGGATCACCGAGCGATGTACATACAAGGAAACTTCTAGACAAGATCCTTCCAAAGTCCACAATTATAGGTATCGACACCCGCTTTTTCTGGCTGTGGGTGCAACCGAGCCGTCATGAGAGTCGGTCTATCTATCGGGGGGTGTGCGACAATTCCCACTCTTACAGTACCGACATATTTCCCGGTGAAAGGTGGTTTCGACACGTTGCTCTTCGAGCCTGCAGTGAACGAAATATGGTAATGTGCGATATGAAAGCCCGCATGACCCCCGGCGAAAGCCTTCCTTGGGGATGAAAACCCTGAATGCCTTATCCGCTTGCCGTCACGACAAGGATTCTTGTCACATACGATGTATTGTATTACCTTGTGCTATTGCCCGTGCTTGCAGTCACGGAGCCCCTTTGTCGGCATACTACATAGGAGTACGACCAACGGCGTTGTTCTTCGCCTTGCGTACCTGGCACCGCCATGGACGTCACGAACTGATCCATGATGCCGCACGGCATGTTGAGGAACTTGTGCTCCGCCATACGGCAGAGGTGCGCCTTCTCCTGTCGAGCCAAGCCGACAAGGAGCGAGAGAGAAAAAAAACAATGGTATCCCGAAGCAGGCGGGTTTTTACACAGGCGGGTTACACATGAGAGGAATCCTCGGAGAGGTTGGGTCGATTGGCCGGGCGTCCCAACGGGTACTACACCTAGGAGTGAACACGGCAGTATCCCACAAAATATCGCGAAGGTAACGCCATCGCAACGCTAGCATCGCCATTCCAGACGTTCTCAAAACGCCCGAGAAATTTCTGATCTGATCCCCGGAGTGCAAGTCTTGAGAAATAAAGAGCGAGGTTTCCCGCATGACACCAGCTCAATGCGGTACTGCGCAAAAAACACGAGCACTCCCTGCCCCCCCTCTCCCCACCTCCGCCATGACAGCACGTACCCTTCGCGAGGACATACAGGATTTTAGTCGGGATTGCGGGTTTGGGTCATAGGGTTAGAGTTTGGGTTTGAAACCCTTTTTATCTAAATAGTTCACGTATCACTTTTTCATATGATAGCGAAGTAGTAGGGGCTAGTGGGGTTATATGGGTACTAACCCCCCTAAATATTTAACATGTAGTGTTTATTACGCTAGCGAAGACCTCATCGCCGCTGGCGCACAAATTCTTCACCTTTGGGGTCGGCGGTGTGACCCCAGCGGACGTGAGGACCCCCTGCAGGAAGGTGGCCATGGCCACGGACAAGGACGCCGAGCTCGAAACGCCTCCCCCGATAGGAACACTCCCCACCACGGTAGCCGTGAACTCCAAGCGCTTGCCTTCCGGCACCTGGACAAAACGGTTCGGCATGCAACAAAACAGGTTGTATACATGTACGCGTGAGGGGGGCAAAACGACGTCCCTGGTGTAATGGGGCGGCGCGGTTTGCCGCTGCCTTCCCCTGCTGCTCACCGACAAGCCTGTTAGGACCCAGGGAGGCGTGTTGTGTGTCTAGGTTGGGAACAGGAAGATTCGGCCGTTCCTCTTGAGCGGTACATTCGTTTTTCACGCCGAAGGCGAACGGACCATGACCCCCACTCTCTTGACCCATCCAAAGACCAGAGCAAGCGAAAAACAAAGTCTAAATACCGCAAGACATATGGCGCCCCCCGTGGATCGATTTTCCACCGTTCGATTGCTCCACAACCAATACTGTGCTACAACACCAAATATTGTGGTTCGGGAAGCATCTCGTCGCGGGCTTCCCACACAGACGTATCGGGGTATTTCCGCACTCCCTTGGTTGAGGGGCGATCGATCTTTGAAAGCCGGTCTAGGGAGGGTGCCATCTCTCCGACTCTTACGGAATACCACGGTACGGTATACGGTACGGCACAGACAACCTTGGTTGAGGGACGATCGATCTTTGAAAGTCGGTCTGGGGAGGGTGTCATCTCTCTGCCTCTTACGGCACTACGATATTTCGAACAGTAGTCCTACGCGAGCCGCACTTCAGTGCACCCCGCCCTCCGACTGGTGCAAACACCCGCACCAACCGCTACAACAACACCCGCGCTACATACCCCTGCAAACCCGCGCCTGCTGCTAGCGCAACTACTGCTGCCGCAGATGACGCAGCTCTAGCCGCCGCACACCTTCGGCATGTACTCTTTCACGACGCCCTTGACGTAGTTGGCCCACTCCGGCTCTCCCGGCGCCAGAGACTCGTCGGCCCGGAAGCTCACGTCCCCGCCAAGCTCGCCCGCCTCCCCACCCGCCTCGTCCTCGGACTGTTGCTGCTGCATGGTCTGCGAAACCACGCGGCACAAGCCCCTGTCGCTGCCTTCTGCTGTCGCCTCGTCAGAGTCCACCTGGTGATATTGAGAGGGACGGGGGAAACAAGTCGTTTCACTATGTGAGGGAGCGTGCACGTCTATGGCACGCTGGGACGGTTTGTTCGGAGCTCGTGTAGGATGCGTGTTTGAAGAGCGCGCACGGTCCGACGTCGTGAGTGTCAGTGGCGATTCCTCGTGTAGACACACACACAGGTGGGATGGATGTCATTCATAACAGCTCGCTCGCGATGCAATATTCCGACATGTTCCCTCTACACTTGCACCCCCCCTGACCTTATGGTCCACGCTGGTATCGTAGTCTAGGTGCTGCCGCTACAACAAGGGCTCTCCGCAAGTGCGTGTCGGGCCACGCTCGAACAGGAAAGACAGCAGCGTATCCATGCCCACCGCAACACACAAGGAGACACAAGTAGATTGTAGCCCATCACGACACCCCTACAACACACACACACGGTATTCGCGGAGTCCAAGACAACGAATCCCCCAAACCTCGTGCCGCACTAGCACACGACCCGCGACCAAAACAGCACTCCATCCACGAAACCGGAGTAGGCCCAAGCACACCAGGTCCACACCATGCACCGCACAACTACACATTGTACCGCACGGGTCCATGGCACGCCGAAAACAACACCCAACCAGTAGCCCAAGCCCACGACACACCGCCTTCCACACAGCACACACAACAGACCGCGACAAAAACGTGTATCTCTCTGTTCTTTTCCCCCTCTCACCAAACGGCCGACGCCGTACACCACCGTGCCGCGCTCGAGCGCCAGCGGCAGGACGAATCCCCCCTGGTAGTCCGTGTGCTCCCCGATCAGGTTTACCCGGCCCGGCGCGTAGCCGGCGGACACCTGCTCTCTCCCCCCATTCCGTCCGTCCCGGCCGCCACGGCGTGTGCATTTTTCGTCGTTGTCATTTTTTTCAAAATCGAAAAATATCGGAGGAAAACAAGATGGAGTGTCGCCACAGTGTCATTTACGGTCGTAATTCCTTTCAGTCGGAAAAAGTCGGAAAAAAAAAATGAACGTCGTCGTATGTTGCCGTCGTGATATTTTTTAATCGGATTTGTCGGGAAAACGACGGGAAAAACACGGGGAAAATAAGACGAATGAGAACGACGACAATGACGACAACCAATTGAACGGCGGGTTTACGATAGGCGATCGGGCCAGGCGAGTGCGAGAGGGAGCGTCACTCGAAACACCGGCCCGCCAGCCCTTTTGTCTCGGGACACCGTGTGCGCGCTCAGCGGCCTTCTGGGATCGGAGCTCGAGGGCAGGTGCAACAAGAGAGGGTGCGTGGAAGGGTCTTCCTGCGTAGCCGAAAGGCCAAGACGCGACTCGCAGCTGTCATCTAAAGAAAACGAACAGCCGCAAGGGAGACAGCGGTCTTCAATTCTCGCAAAACGCGCTACATATCGCTCTTTGTCGTTGTTGTCGTCACATTGTAACATCAAGAAAAAAAACAAAACACGTTGTATACGACGCACATGTCGGACATCCTCAGGAGGGCCGAAAGTGTCGTCGTAGAGGTCACGGGCCATCACCAAGAGCTCTCCCGCGGTGGGCACCCTGTACGACAAAAACGCGCACGAACCAAACAGCAACTTGTTGACAACAAAAAAGAGGGCATCGAGTGCGCGAGCAGCGAAGCGTTCGCGAGGATGTCTGCGGCGCATTCGGTCGTGCGTTCCTCCCGTTCTCGCTCACCCGAAACAGGGAGGGCATGCCAGGCACGCACTTGCCACGCTATCAACGGAAAATTCTTGAAACGAGATGGACAGCTGCTTGTACACGTCAACGAAACGTCTCGTGGCAAAACTGGTTGACCAATCGTCTCGCATACAAGTAGGAACAGTTCGGCCACGAGCCCTAAATTCTATCTCCCCGCACCTCTCTTCAATTCCCCCCTCCTCCACCACCGACACCGAGCGGCCATCGCCGTGCTTCGGTCCCCCATCCCCTGCCCCCTCCGTCTTATCATGGGGAACACCCGCGGCCGCTGCTGCTGCCGCCGCCATGCCGGCCGACGTCGACGCCAAGCTGGTGAGGCTTTCGCGTCGTGCTGAGATTTCGGCCTGGTTGGCCGATATCGCCTTTGACGTCCACGTGACGATCGTGACAGAAGATACAGCGCAAAACAGAAAAACAGCCGTGAGTTTCCAGGGCGAGCTTGTGCGGTGCACTGAACAATGGAAAAAAACTGTTGTGTATGGTGAATTGCTGCTGCTGCGATTGCTGCTGCCGTTGTGCACGTGAGACTTTCGGCAGTGAAAATCAAACAGAGTTGCAGAGAGGGTAGCATTTCGTGTTGAATACTGTGGTGCGGTGAGATCGGTTGGGGCATAGCCTGTTGTTGGCCTCGCCACCATGACGCCACCATGACGCCACGACAAACACAAGCGCCGCGGGAAAAACAGAAAATCACGTTCAAGACATACCACCAACCCAGTAAACAAAAAAATTGGATAAACAAAACCAATTTTGTAGGTCATGGTAGAGGGAGTTCCACGTAAGGCGGGAGAAGAGGGGACGGACTTCAGGTATTACCGCACTTGCGAGCGCGAAAACTATTCATGTGTACCCCCCCCCCCCTGCCCGGGCCTTAACCACCCAAGCTCGCCCTTCTCTGACCTTCTTCGCTCCTAGCACCCCCCTCCTTTCGTCTGAAGGCATGCATATCGAGCTAGAACCCAGCCCTCGCTTCGCCCCCGCCAGGCCGCCGCCGCCGCCACCGCCGCCCCCCGCGCCTCCCCCGCTCGTCTTCTTCGCCGTCCCGCCAACGACGATCGCGACAACACCTCCTCCTGCACGACCCCGAGAAAAGTTGTAACCGCCGCCGCCGCGACGGTCGCGCGAAGCGGTCAAGGTTGCGCCGCCGCCGCCGCCGTCGCAACCGCCACTTCTGCCGGTCGGATAGAGAAACGATTCCCCGCCGTCGGGCGCGGAGGCGAGCAGGAGCGACAGGAGCAGGAGGGGAGGGGACGCCAGGAATCCCGCGGGGCGGACCTCTCTCCGGCGCTTGCGGTCGCCCGTTGCCGCTGCCATCGTAGCAGCCAAAACTTCCGATTGGCGCCTGTGGACAGATGCGCCGCAAGCCAGAGGTTGAGAGTGCGGTGTTGGCGCGGGGGTTCCGACTGGGGTTTGCATAACAGGAGGCCATGCTACACATCACAGGGGGGGGGGGGGGGGGGGGGGGGAAAAA